AATCAAACTCAGGCCTCAGGTGTGGTGGCAAAGCACCTCTACTCATTGAGCTTTCTGACTGTAAGATAGTTTTTAAAATCCTGCACACCACGCAGAAAGGAGAAAGGGACCAGCTCAAGAATAAGGATGTCTAGACAGCCTAGGACAGTGTACCTCAAGTACTTCCTCTAGAAAATGGGGCATGAACATCTCTCCGGAAACGATAAGCCACCATGTTATTACATTGCTTACTCAGAGAACAAAGATGTAAATTATCATTGTAGGATTGCTAAGCATCTTTAAATAATGAACATTTTTGGAGATTTTCTTTAAAATTTGGGTGTCACCAAATGTCTTTGATCTTAGAAACCTGTTCTCATAAATATCCCCCAATAAGCCTTAGATTCAGTTTTCCCAGGAAACCATTCTCGGAAATATGCTCTAGAGTAAGTAAGGCAGAAGGTGTTCATTGGGAGTGGCTGGGGTTATAGGCTAGGTCAAGGGTATTGTGTGGGAAGTGTGCTGAGTACTCACTGGCCATCAGTGTTGGTCTCTTCCCTAACTAGAGAAGGAAAGGGAATTCTGGAATGCTGGCCCAGTCCAGTTACTCTGCCCTGAGATATAGTCGGTCTGTGTTGTCTTTGGCCTAACTTCCTCTGGGGGTTAGTTGGATACCTGTCTCAGAGGCCTCTGCCAGCACAAAAAGGGATCTGATTTGTGTCGGTTTGTGACTCCTGACTCTCGGGTTGTTCAGGTTCACAGAGTGTTTCCAAATGGGCTGGCTTCCCAGGAAGGCACAATTCAGAAAGGCAACGAGGTTCTTTCCATCAATGGCAAATCTCTCAAGGGCGCTACCCACAACGATGCCCTAGCTATCCTTCGCCAAGCTCGGGACCCAAGGCAAGCTGTGATTGTCACCAGGAGGGCAACTGTGGAGGCCACTCATGACCTGAACTCCTCTACTGACTCTGCTGCCTCAGCTTCAGCAGCCAGTGACATTTCTGTAGACTCTAGTAAGTGATCCCAGTGCAGTGGGGGCTGGTGTGGGGACAGGCTCCTTTGGAACCATGTTCTGTCTTTGGCCGTTTAGATCCATGCTTGGTGGCACTGCGTGGTAATGTGTGGCCCTAACATCATACTTTCCTAGCATGCTTGATGTGCTGCAGAGATCCGAGTCTATTTCCGAATGAGTATGTATGGCTGTGTGTCTGTGGTATGTGTGTATGTGTGTAGTTAAGCAGCCAGCATCAGCCTGGGGAGCTGGGCCTGAGAGAAGAGCACATCACTGACCAAGCCCATGTGATTTATTTTTTGCAGAGGAAGCCACTGTCTGCACAGTGACACTGGAGAAGACCTCTGCAGGGCTGGGCTTCAGCCTGGAGGGTGGAAAGGGCTCCCTGCATGGTGACAAGCCTCTTACCATAAACAGGATTTTCAAAGGTAGGCGTACGATTTCAATGTTTTAAGTAAAGCCAGAGGCAGGCACTTGTCTGATAGCCTGGCTAGATTTACTCTAGCCCTACATTCATCGATTCTTGTGTTTATTTTCCATTTGATGTCTCATCTGCCATGGATTGGGCTGCCCGATAATCTGACACGTGAGTCAGCTAGATATGGATTTTCCTGAGAAAATTATGAATGCCTTATAGCTACCATGCAGATATATCTGCAACACCTTGCTACTTACTTGGAAGTCTTGGGCAAGGGGATAGGGATGTGGATAAAGGCACATTGGTCAAAGGCCAGCTGTAAGACCTGGGTTCTAATGTTAGGTTTGCCACGCAAAGTGGCAAGTTGCTTCAGTATTGTGGGCCCGTGAGCAACACATGGGAATGAGCCTCTAGCCACGGGCAGGTGTGGTGCCATGGGATGTGGACGCCAGAGCCTGCAAGACAGAGTTCAAACTTAGATCCTACGACTAGCCACTTTCAAGCTCTGAGTAATGGTCTCTCTTTGGTTTCCATGCTTGTGAAAAGGGAATCTACTTTTGTGTACCCCCAAGGAATTCTGCCATGGGTGCAGAACACCAGCACAATGTCCACTTCATTGCTCAATATCCCTAGCTATATTTTCATTATTACTCTATACTGTTATTCACTATTGGTTAAGGCCAGGGTGTCAAGAATGGTGTGTGTGTGTGTGTGTGTGTGTGTGTGTGTAGCAGGGGGAGGTCCCTTCAATATAAACAGTAAAAGAAGACCTTGTGATTTCTGCATGCATCTTTGACTGAGTAGGCACCACGCAGGGTTATGAGTGCATGCAGGGTTAGGTCTTTCTGAGTGGATACAGAGTTCTTTCCAGGCTGTTTGAAGCCAAACGCTTCATAAATGTCTCAGCAGCTCACACCACTTCCCACTCATTGCTGATGTTGTCATCAGAAGTACGTTGTCAGTATGAATCAGGGAATCAATAGAGAGGTTCAGTGAGGACACAGAACTTCAGGAGTTCTCTAGGGATTGTGAAAGTCCCTAACTAGGCTCTGGCTTGAGACTGCCTGCTAGCTCCTCACTTAGAAACAGCATTGATTGTCTTTGGAGCTTTCTATGCCCCAGACAGCTAAGTACGTTGTCAGTATGAATCAGGGAATCAATAGAGAGGTTCAGTGAGGACACAGAACTTCAAGAGTTCTCTAGGGATTGTGAAAGTCCCTAACCAGGCTCTGGCTTGAGACTGCCTGGTAGTTCCACACTTAAAAACAGCATTGATTGTCTTTGGAACTTTCTATGCCCCAGACAGCTAAGCCTGATGGCCAAGCTCTGTGCTACCATGCTGTGAAATAAATCCTTCACAAGCTCCCAAAGATGGGTGTGCTATCCACTTGTAAGCTTTCCTGGCTCCTCAGAAAGTGTCTTTTATAGTTCCTGTTACCCGAAAAGCCCAAGATCACGTGTCATCTTCTCTTTCTTTATAGGGACAGAACAAGGTGAGATGGTCCAGCCAGGGGATGAGATCTTGCAGCTCGCTGGCACTGCTGTGCAAGGTCTTACACGGTTTGAAGCCTGGAATGTCATCAAGGCATTACCGGATGGACCTGTCACTATAGTCATCAGAAGGAATGGCTTCCACTGCAAGCAAACAGCTTCTGCAGACTCATAGACAGGATGCCAATGCTAAGACAAAGCAGGAGCCCAAAGCTCCAGTAATTGCTGATTCTCAGGGTCTCTGCTGCCCACCTCACCCAGGCTGGGGAAAGCCCAGGTGTGCTTTTGGTAGCTGCTGCTCAGGTTTGGACCTTCTGGCACACTGCCCATCAAGAGGGTTGTTCCAAATGTCAAGACCGAGTCACTCAGAGGTGGCTGATACAAACCATAGACTGTATATAGACAGCTTAGTGATAATACTCTGGTGCCGTAATAAAATGGTTGTACTGCAGTTTGCCATGAAACAAATGGCCTGACTTGAAAATCACGTAGGGACTGTGAAAGCCAACCCGTGGCAGAGCTTTTTCTTCTCTTATGCATCTCATGTCTTGGAGGAAGCTCCTCAGCATCAGCTGGAGCAAGTCAAGGCTGGGTTGGGGTCCTGTGAAGGGTCACTGTTTGTGGCTCCCCTCAGAGGTGCTGGGTGATGACTGGGGAAGTCTCTATATGGCTGGTGCGTCTGCATCATGCTGATTGATTCTGCATCATGCTATCTGCTGGTGCTTTTGCAACATGCTGATTCTGCACCGTGCTGCCCGGGTGCAACACAGCAGGTGGGGGTACACCATTTGAATGTTCTGCCTTTGAAGACTCTTAACATTGCTTCTGCTGTATTCCTGCAGAGAGCAGACAAAAACCTGCCTAGGTTTAAGGAAAGGGAATATGTTGTTAGAAACAGCTCTGTGAGATGCAGCATGTCATGAAGAACACTTTCAAACACTTAGAAGACTTTTTGGTTGGGTTGAGATCCTAGAAGGAGGGGAACCAGAAGACAGAGAAGTGTAGTGTGAGTTAAGGTGTGGACAGATATGATGAACCAGGATGGATATGAGGATAAAATAAAATTATTACTAATGTCCTATCTGTTACGTGTCAGGCACTCTGCTTGATATTAAATGATAGTCATCAGTGATCACAGCCACTTCACCAACGGTGGTCCTGCACCAGTGTATTGGGGGGGGGTGCTGAACCCCAGAACAATAAATAGCTTGTCTGGCTAGGATGTGGTGGTAGGGCAGAGATTTAGTCATTCCTTCTGTGACATGAGCAGGCCCAGGAGCTTTAAAACATAGTATATCAGGGAATAAAAACAAACAAACAACCGCCTAGCATGTTGGCAGCATGTGCGTGGCCAGTATAACATTTGCTTTGGTTATTTCTGAACAGCTGACAGCCAAGCTCAGGGCAACTCAATGTGACTCTCCATTATCCACAGCAATTACAGTTTTTACCAGGTCCGGGCCAAGGGTTCAGATCCTCATCCCTAGTTATTCCATGAAATACAGATGACATGGGAAGGCCTGGCAAGGGTCACAGATAAACCACCAGAGACCATTTATTTCAGGGCATTGCCAATGGAAGCTTGCTACTATAACTTGCTAGCTTCTCCAGAATTGAAAGCCAGAAATACTTTCTGGAAGTGGACTCAGAAACCCCAGCTGGATCCTCTCTTCAGGTAAGGCCCTTCAGTGACTCTCAGCCTCACTTATTCTGAAAAATGACATGTTACTGGAGCTGGCATGCTTACTTCTCCAGTCCACTCTCAATTCTGTTCTAAAACAGACAAGTAGAAAAGGAACTTAGGATACCTTTTATATCAATCTATCAGATTTAATAGAAGGTATATTTGATCTAACAGTAAAAGGTGTGGTGCTGGGGAGACAGCTGTCAGTAAAATGCTTGCTGTGCAAGCATGGCAACCTGAACTTAATCCCCAGAGACAAGAAAAACAAAAAACCAAAAAACCAAAAAGCCAACCAGTTAAACAACCAACCAACCAACCAACCAACCAACCAACCAACCAACCAACCAAAAAACCAAACCAAACCAAACCAAACAATCAAAAACAAAAAGAAAAAAAAAGAAAAGAACCAGATGCAGTAGCATTCAACATGTAATTCCAGACCTGGGGAAGCAGAAAGATGCTAGTCCCTGGAACTTGCTGGTCATCCAATCTAGCCTATTTGGTGAGTCTAAAGCCAATGAGAAAGTCTGTCTCAAAAACCTCAAAGTGGATCATATCCAAAATAATGGTATAGCAAGTAAGTAAGCTTAATATGGAGACAAAACCAGAAAGAGATCACAGAAAGAGATCAACAGTCAGCATCCAGACCCCAGGGAGCAGGACAGCAGCAAGAAAATCAGACAGATCTATACAGATTGTGGGAAATTCTGAACAAGCCTCATCAAAATGAAACTGTGTCCTAATGAACCCTTTGACTAAATCTGAGCGGCCCCAACCACAACAACAGTGAGAAGAACAAAGAGAGAAAGAGTAGGGAACTATTAAAATCTACTGAAGAGGGGCAGCTGAGGACAATGAGGGCACCATGTGTCTGAAGACAATGTCAGCCAACAGAAATCTTTCCATTCTCCGTACGACAGAAAGCAAGAATCTAAATTTATTTGAAAAGCTAAGGAGACACCCTTTGTTCCTAAAGGAACGGCAGGCTTAGTGGTCAGTGTTAGATACAGTAGGCGTGGACAGTCTCACAGCCCAAGAGACATCCTTCTCTCCTTCCTAATGGCAGCAAAACCTGATGAGGCCAGGACAGCCCAGCACCCTTGCCTCACCATCATGACTTAGGGCATAGTGAGGTATATGCCAGGAGGCTCTTCTCCCCAGAGTCCAGCATGCGCACAGGAGCAGCTGGCCCTGCTTAGAGTCACTTATAGGGACCACAAGAACTCAGAATCCTTCCCAAAGATACAAACTTGCCTGAGGCAGATACAAACTGGTTTCATGGGGGATGTGAACCTTAACCCATGAAGGAAAAAACAGATAGGAAGAGATGATTCTGATGGAAGATACCACAAAAGTTAGATTGAAAGTGTTTTTCCTTAAGGCTTATCCTTTGATTTAAAACATCATTTTCCAAGTTGACACTTTTGTAAAGGGGGAAAAGTCTTGTGCTAATAATTTGTATACAAAAGCATATCAGAAAGGAAACACAGGAGTCTGGGAACTCCAGATGCCAGAGGAAGCAGGACTTAGCGACCACAATGGATGATGACTCTTTAAGACCAGCACAGGGACAAGATGTCTGACAGCAACCAGCACACAGGGCTCTGGACCACAAAGAATCAAAGAGTACTTGAGCCATCTCTCAGGTGGCCATTGTGGGACCTGCCCTGGCCTGCCAGGTGTATGTGTGCACCACATTAAGCTGATGAACAGCTCCTTCCACAACCAAGCCCAAGAGGCAGGAGGGTGGTGTGGGGGGATGGGCTGCTCTTCTGGAATGGTACCCTGAGATTTGGTGTTTACTATGGTATCTCAAAAGGCCTCAGCAGCTCTTCCGTGTTCCTTGAGGCTCAACAGCTGGAGTTCTTGAAGGACCAGAGGCATTCCTTGCCAATAGGCGACTGTCAGTGATGGAACTTCCTCACTGCCTTCTGAAGGTTGTGGTAGAAGTCAGCCATGCTTCGAGGGAAGAAGGAGTCCACCACACTCTGAGGGAGATAGCCACTCAAGTCTGTCTGGAAGAATGTGACCAGATTGGTTTTGTTGGGATCCCTGAAGAAGAAATAGCAGAGGTGGGTTAGATTTGTATCATGGACGTATGTAGCACAGAGTCATGACCAGCAGATGTGGCCCAGACATGGTGGTCTTTTCTACTCCTACTCTAGGTTCAGTCACCAGGGCTCTGCTCAACCTTCTTGCTGTGGATAATAGCATATCTCCTAGGGGACACACTACACAGTTGCTATGAACACATTGGAGAGCTGGTGCCATGCGCTGGGTAGGACAGATGCAGATACTTCTTATGGCTATTGACAGCCCATCCCCCAACCCCTCCTGGGCTTTGTGTGGCAGGAGCTGTCTATCAGCTTACTCCTGTGCAGACAGAGACAGAAGGGGGTGGGAGAGGGAAAGAGGGAGAGATGGAGGGAGAGGGCACAAATCCTCAGCTCTGTCAGATTCCATGTTCTCCCTCCCTGACTACCTCCCACTGACTCTGGGGTACTTTCTCTGCCCCCCACCTCCCATACCCACCCTGAGCTCAGGCTATCTCTCATAGTCCTCATAGTCACTCAGCTGTGTTCTCTTTGGAAACTTGAACAGGTAAGTAAGAAATCTGAGGTAGCGACTGTATTTCTTTCTGGGGAGCCCTGGGCTTGATGGGAGAATATCACAGAAGAGACAGACAACGTGGGGAAAGAAAGACACATGGAGTAAGTCTGCATGGATGAAAGGAGGCTCAGAGATGCCATGACTGTCTTCACAGAGAAAGCCAGGAGTTTGTCCTGACACATTCATCAGAACACATGCAGAGCATAGAGAATGCTCCCTGTATACAGCAGGCACATCACAAATGCAGCCCTGATGCTGCCTCTTCCCAAGGCTCTCCTGCCCTCTGAGATGCTTTCTCTCTATCATAGACCATCTGAGCCCAGACACCTCCAAATCAGTCTGGACACAGCCCCACTCCCCAGTGTGGCCTCTTGCTCTGATTCACAGATCCTCCTACACAGGGCACAAAGCAGTTTACACTGAAGTCATAGCATGACTGCTTAGACATGCTCTCTAAAGCTCCTAGTTACTTGACACAAATGTCTCTAGGAGCCTGGCCCTACTTTCTCAATGACTACACTTCCTGGCCTCTCTCCTGGCTCCACTGAGCTAACACAGTGGCTTCTTCCCATCCTGTTCCCCTTGTGCCCACACCTGCTTCCTGTCACCAAGAGGAACCCTGCACCTGCACAGGCCACTGTGCCACATGGGGCTCCAAATCAGGGAGGATTTTGGTGACTTCTGGGGTGATTCACTTCCACCGTACCTCAGACCCTTTCATCATCCTTTAATTTTCTACACAGCACCTACTATGTAGTAAGAAATTCCTAGTATATACAGAACATAATTATTTTCATTTGTGCCTTGTTTATCTTCTCCCACCCCATCAGAATTAAACACTCAGAGAACAGATGTTTTTTATCTGTACTTTCTTTCTTTCTTTCTTTCTTTCTTTCTTTCTTTCTTTCTTTCTTTCTTTCTTTCTTTCTCTTTCTTTCTTTCTTTTTTTTAAGAAAAAAAAGAGAGAGAGAGAGAAAGTATACAGTCAACACGAAGGACAGATGGCTGGGTTTAAGCTGTGGCTATATCACTTGTTGAGTCCGTCCGTGGTCTTGGGGTAGTTATTTTACCTCTCTGGCCTACCCACCCCTTTTATAGAACCTGGACCATCACCATTGTTACACAGGCTAAAGCTTGCACACTGTGTGTTCCCCTAAGACTCAGCTTCAATGAGAAAGGGCTCTGCTCCTACTTGTCTGGAAACTTCTTGCAGTATGCCTGGCAACCTGGAAAGAAGGGCAGGGAAGGTCTCAGCATCTGACTGGTGGGAACAGAGCAAGGACAAGTGGTCAAGGGTAGTTTTCTAGGCACACACCAGAGGGCCTGGTTTCCCCTGTACTGGGACTAAAGCTGTGTGTGCGTGTGCGTGTGTGTATGCGCGCGCACACACACACACGCACACGCACTACTACTGTCAAATTCCAAATTTTGTGACATTTAAGAAAAGCCTTCCAAGAGCTGTTTGGAGAGACAGCTTAGCAGACATGGTGTTCTGTGGGGTTGCTGTGTCTGGGTTTTAGTAATATTCTAGGCACTGAGACCTGCCTCCTGGAACTGCATGGGGAAGTCCCACACCTTCCCCTCTGGCTATCTGCAGGAAACGCAGGGATGCATGAGCAGGTGAAATCAATCCCTCTCCCTGTTAACTTGGGTGGTGCTCATCATAAACCTGGGACCTTCAGGTAATTCATTACCCAGAGAGCTCCTGGGAAAACGCTGCTGTGCCTGTGAGTGAACTCAGGGCTCTCTGGCTTCTCTCCAGAGCTGATTCACAACATGATCTCAGAACTGTCCTCCATGCCCTGAGATCTGTCCCATTTCTTATAAAGGAAGGTGGTTACTGTATGAACGTAGAGTGGGGAATTTGTTCCTGTAGCTACTTTAGTCTGGTGTGTATCTTCAGAAAGTCCAGAAGATCTGGAGCTCAGGCAGTACACCTCGCTCCTGGCCTTTGACTGTGGACACGACACTTAATTATCCTCTCGGTTTGCTTATTTGCCCAATGGGGCTAGGACATTTGCCTGACCTGTCCTGTATGGCTGGACACATGGTGGCTATACATGCCTTTAACCCCAGCACCTGGCTGCAGAGGGTGACAGATCTCTGAGTTAACAACAACAAAAATTAATCTGGTAATGCCTCCTTATCCCTTTGCCAGGTGCCACCTACAGTGGCACATCATGTCATGCATGCCTATGTGTGACAGTGCATTTTGTAACATCAATATCATTTTTACAGATTACAGTCAAAGTGCCTGTTTTCTGAGTTCACAGTGGTGGTATGGTTAGGTCTAAGACAAAGTTCTCCACCCACTTTCCTTACCCTGGCAGTGGTTCACAGAAGCACCCACATGGATGGTTAAATCCTCTCACAAAACCCGGCTGTGGGGGACACAATGGATGCTCCACATGAGTAGCTGGAAGACATTCATGAAGTCAGTGAACTCACCTTCAGACAACAGGGTCACCACCACCAGCACTCAAGATCCTCCATCTGCACAGGCCAAGAGACTGAAGCCCAGCATGCCAGCAAGGGGTTCTGCCACCTGCCAACTTCTTCACACTAACACTCACTCCAGCTCACACATATGCATCTCACTCCCCCCCGCCCGCAACACACATGCTCAGATACATGCACACACACGCACTCATTTCCACACACAATTTTCTCCAACCCTTTAAGAATTTCAGAAGAAAGAACATTCTAGAATATAAGGCTCAGGGTAGAAGAACGATTCCTCTCTCAGATTTCGGCCCACAGAAAGGAGGTTGTGTCCCCCATCTTACCCAGGGGCAGATACAAAGGAATCACTAGGCTCTGCTCCCCAAAGGGCAGGGACGGTACAGAAAACAGCCATAAGACTAAGATGCTCCTGTGGACTTGACACACTGACATACAGAGATCAGCTGCTTTCTGCATGTCCATAGCATAAACTGAGACCAGCAGGAATAAAGACAGTGCTGACAAAAATTTGGGACACACATAATAAAGCCCAGATACATGTTCTCCCCATTTTAAACCCTACGGCACCCTACAAGGGAAGAGGATGGAACACATGAGCTTGTTGATGGTTTCCAATCACCCAGCTTTCCTTGAAGATCAGGGGTGCGTAAGAGAGAGCCCAGCATCTAGGACAGCCAATAAACACCTACTGCCAATTACCATTGGAGTTGATGGTGCCATCCTCATATCTCTTCACCAGCACCAAGTCCACAAAGTCCCTGGGGGAAATAAGCTTCATGGCAGCCGAGGGCGTGGAGGTTCTGCTCACACACAGCATCTGCCAAAACAAGGGAGGCTCAGGTCTGCTGAGGACAGGTCCAACTCATACCCAGCATCTGGGAAATGAAATGCAGGGACAATATAGGAGCTGCAAGCAGGACAAAAGGGAGCCTGGGGGGGCACTTGGGCACTTTCCAGTGGGTGCACTGAGACCAAAATGATATCATCACTTTCCAAACGATTTCATCTTCGTGTTTCTTTATAAAATAACTCACCTGAGAACAATGTGTCTCTACAGAATGGGTCTTCCCCTTACCCATCTACTATCATCCTAGATTGCACTGCTCAGGGTACAAGATCCCTTGGGGTGCTACAGATCTTCAGGATTCTGACTGCAGTATTTGACCACGGTGCCCCAAACTGGGCTCAGAATGTCAGTTTGCCTTTCTCAAGCACAGTCCAAGAAACAAGTCCATTTCTGAACTCCTGTATCTTGCAGCAGGCACAGTGGAAGTAACGGTTATTCTGTACAACCATAACATCGTCTTCTGATTCCATCTGGAGCCTGAGGGAAAAGTCTATTTTTAAGAATATTGACGACAGAGGCACTTGTTACAGACGGAAGTTCACTCCAGGTTCATGTCCCATCCACACATCCTTTACCCATCTTCTATTAAGAGTCAGGAAGGATGCTTGAGGGCTGACCAAATCATGCTGATGAACGCCACCTGGAAGAAGGGCCTCTGTCCCCCCTTACCTTCACTGTTTCACTTAACAAGCAAGACCCCGACTTGTTACTGGCTTCTCTGCTTTTCAGGTTGTGTAAGTTCCCCAGCAGTCTGTGCTTTCTCTCCTTCTGTGCCTAGTGTCTGCTGAAGATTATGTCTCTCTGGCAACAGGCCAAATCTCTTCACGGACACATGAATTAATGAGAACCAAGAGTTCCCACATATCTCACGCAGAGATAAAACAATTCTTTTCTCTTTGTGTTTAATCATTCTTTACCCAAATTTCTAACGTAATTATGTTACCTTAATACATTACACTCATACCTCAGTTTAGTACTTAAAAAAAAAAAGGTCATGTGATCAAAAGAAGTACATGACTAGAACAGCTTTTTTTTTTTTTAAACAAAAATATTTACAAGAATATTTCAATAAAATTTGGTGATGTCCAAAAATCCACATGCATTATATGAGGGTTAAAATCGACTGGGAGGCCAAACCTGATGGTGTAAGCTTGTAAGCTTACGAGGCAGAAGCAGGGGGATCAGCCTGGTCTATATATTGAGTTCTAGGCCACCCAGGGCTACATAAAGAGACCCTGTCTTAAATTTAAAAAAAAAAAAATCAGTGGGCTGTATAAAGCAAAGTTCAAGAAAAATAATTACATATAATTACATACTGATTAAGAAAAACAAGCCGGGCAGTGGTGGCGCACGCCTTTAATCCCGGCGCTTGGGAGGCAGAGGCAGGCGGATTTTTGAGTTCGAGGCTAGCCTGGTCTACACAGTGAGTTCCAGGACAGCCAGGGCTATACAGAGAAATCCTGTCTCGGGGCGGGGGGTTGGGGGGGGGGAAGAAAGAAAAAGAAAAACATATTTCTTTTTGGTGGCTTGCTTTGTTTATTGAATTGAAATGTAGCCCTGCCTAATGGGGTGCTCATAGTCTGGCTGACCCCAACTCCCTGATCCTCATATCTCTCCATGGCTGCTGGGATTACAGTTATGTGGCAGTAGGGAACCAGCTTCTTCTGGCTTCTTTATCTATGTGCACTTGCAGCTTCTCTTTATCTATCAGACTGTTTCTTCCCCCAGGTTTCAGGCTTGAGGCCAGGAATAGAACATCTAGTAACCGCCTTGAGAGCACTGACAGGTTACAGCCACTGTTATGGCTGCTCAGGTATCACAGCCTATGGATTTCCGAGCTTTTCATTCTCTTCGTCCCACCAGCCACTGTACTGACACCAAGAGGTTCAAGTAAGTGAAAGAGATGCGCTGGAGCCACGTGAGCTGCCACGTGAGCTTCCACGTGGGCTCTGGGGGTGGTTTCCTGGGTAAAGTGTTTGCTGTGTCAAGTGTGAGGACCAGAACTTAGATTCCCCAGAACCCTCACACAAGCTAGTTGGGAGTGTTAGTTCCACTGTTATCCCAGAAGGGAGCTAGAGGCAGGGAATCTCTGGAGTAAGCTGGCTAGAAGTGCAAGCTCTAGATTCAGCAAGAGACTTTGCCTCAATATATAAAGGTAGAGCCTGACTGTAGGAGATATTTCTGGAGGCTCCATATACAAAAGAGCATGTGTACATACGCACATGTATAGCACATACACATAAAAGTCCTTCTGTCACGGCATTCGCATAATATAGAAAAGGCACTAACCAAGGGTTGCTCGACTTTACTCATTTGTATGTAGTAATTTGTATATTCTCTTTGCATTTTTTTTTCTTTTCTAATGCTGGTGTCACTTAATCCAGAATAAGAAAACCATATCTATTTATTACGGTTCTTCAAATACTCCTACTTAGACCAGCTGGCTCTTACAAAGGAAGCTATTTAACTATAAATGGAAAAAAAATGAAAGAAAGAAGAACCACTTGTCATAAATTAAAGGTAACTTCGAATTAAATGCGAAATTGCTAGAGTCTGATTCCCAGCCCAGGCTGCCTATTCATCTCTTAAGGGAAAGGAACAGTTAAATAATATCCAAGGCACATCAGTGCCCGAGATTCACTCTCCTCTTCCTGGTACCACAGGGCTGAAAGAAGAGTCGAACCATGGCATCATCCTCACTGTGTGTTTCAATTCCGAGTTTGAGTGTTAAGGACATAAAATTACCTTTCCTCCCAGGGATTTCTGCCTCTTCCTTCAGACAACTCTGACATAAACTTCTATGGAAAACAGACTGACTGAAATGAGGATTCTGGATCAGAGCAAAGACACCTGGCTGCACAGATTGCAAAATACTGTAAGGTTTCACAATGCTACCTGTTTATGTAAGCACCAGACAAGATAGTGCCAGCCAAGTTCTAGAAGCCAACGCTAAGATGCCATTGAAACCACACAGGTCTGCTCCCCTAGAGTTGCTTGCATATCTGTTTTCACTGTGATTTTCTATTCTTCCAAGCTTTCTATCGTCAAAAATGAAGCACAATCTTACAGTTACAGGTGATGCCAGGATAGGTTCATCAGGATGGGAGCTGTCTCCCATAATACTCCCTTGTCTCGTGTGGCTATTTCAGTTACGTTTATATTTGTTGAAATGAACAATTCATATCTTCAAACCAGCCACCTTTCCATGCTCTGTGGCCCCATGGACTTGAGGCTGCCACACTAGACAAGGCAGTTGCAGAACAATGTTGCTGTATACCATGGCTTTCTGCTGGGCAAGGCAAGTCTGTAGGACGAACACTTTCCTGAAGGAGACTTGCAGTGATCCTACTGTGGGCAAAGGACCAAGTGGCTATGTCAAGAGACAATGCTTCAAACTAGATCTGTTAGTCTAATCTAGGCCTGCCTCCTGTGTGGGGAGCCCAGGCCTTGCCCTTCAATTCCTCAGCTATAGGTCACTGACTCTGATGAGGGTTTTTGGGCTTCTCAGAGACATACTGTTTCCTGCCAGGGCCAGGTCTGCATGGCATTCCTCTTTCCTACAGATGTTAGAGGTGAGGTCAGGGTATTGCAGCAGGACAAGACACTACAGATAACACAGCCGGAGACACTTACATCCGTGATGCTCTGGACAATTTCAAAGCGGCTCACATTGTCATCCCACTTCTCCCGGAGGCCCCCAGCAACTGGCTTTACGCAATCCCACACCTCTTCTGGTGTCCCACACAGAATCCCTTCTCCCCGGTACCTGGAACAGAGAGGAATTTGACTGACTACATCAACTAAATTTGTTTATCTTAGGATTTTTATCTCAGGTCTATTACATGTTTGTTCCACTTCTAGGGCAGGCTGACAGAAAAGGGACTGAGATATGCTAGCCCATCTCCCCTCCAGCCTGCATAGACAGGTACAAAGCCCACACAGAACACAGCTTGCTAGAAACGATTCAAAACACAAGCTAATGCTTTTCTGGAAGGTGACTAGTGATCACAGAAGGCCAGAGTGGATTGGAATCTTTCATGAGGCAACCCCAGAGACACCAGGAAGGGAGTCAAGGTTCTGACAAACTTTGTTAAAAGTATGCACTTACAGATTCCCTGGAAACTCCTCAGATGGCCTCCAGGAAATTGAAACTCCATTCTGTCAAAAGGCATAGGATTGTAGAATTTTAGAGCTAGAGAAAGTCTTGGAGATGAGATCTCAAGGCTTGATTCTCCAAGGTCACCTAACCTGTTCCTGGCACAGTTGGGATCATGGATGTAGCTGCCTGTCCCTATGGCAGGTGATGAGCAGGGAGATCCTGGCTGGCTGATTCCTGGAGCTGTGGAAGCCTCACCAGTCGCTTTAACTGCCACTAAGAACTTTTGTTTTCTTAAGCAGTTTAGTGCTTTAAAAAAAAAAAAATCAGAAGCACCAAGGAAGGAAATTATTTCCCCCCGGCACTCCTTGGCGGAGGGATTGTGCAATAATGAACGGAGGAAAGACTTGGTACTTGGAGCTTTAGGTCCCAATCCTAACCTCAATAGCACTCAGATGACCTTGAGTGGGTTTCTAAATGAAAGGAGCAGGGATCTCCAGAGTCCCAGAGAGCATCCACCCGCAGTGGAATCGCTCTCTCAATCCACCTCTGGGGTCCAGGGTGCGGATAATCTCGGGGAGAGGAGAAGCCTGGGAGTTTGGAGGACTCCAAGCCCTAGGAGCAGTCTCCAGACCCATTTTCCCGCCCAGTCCTTTACTCACGCCTTCCCGGCACTTCTTCCAGCCCGACGCGTCCCGCCGGTACCGGAGCACCTTTTCTGCCACAGCCTCACTCTCTTGCGTGGCCCAGGACAGGTCCATTACGGCAATGTGCAGGGTCCCAGCTGTGCCACACAGGTTCTGCTGGGCGGAAAACTGGGCCTTGGGCGGAGCCTGGAGCCCCGCCCCCAGGCTCCGCCTCTCTTTCAGAATTGGTCTTCGCTCTCAGACAATTCTGTCCTTTCTTGAAATTGGCAGGTCTGGAGATTAAGGCCGGCCTTGCGCAGTCAGCGTCATCTCTGGGCGGGTGTCAGGAAGCTTCTGCTCTGCAACGGTAGGCTCTGGGCAAGGCCAGGAACCAGCTAGCTTAAGGAGTTTGGGTGTTTTCTCCTTGGTGCTCAGGTGGGTGCTTTCGGCCCCCAGCGAAACCGTGCAGTTTTCATAGCAAACAACTTCCCATGGGGGATTCTGCAGGGTGGTCCGGAGAATGTGGAGGAGCCGGCCGTGGAGGTAGGCAGGAGGGGTACTCACCCGTGAAAGTTTAGGAGGCCTGTGCACGGATGTCTGTCTGCTTCTGATAACTGAAGCTGAAGCGAGTCCCCCCCCGCCCCCCGCTTTTTTTTGTTTTTTCCTTGACTAGCTGAATGCCTTTGCTGAGTAAAGGAAGAAACAACTTCGAGAGTCGGTGGATATGGGTGTGGAGGAAGAAGTTGAAACCAATGTCACATCTGCTTAGTTCTAGACACCCAGGGAGCTCTTAGTAGACATACATATCCAGCAGACTGAGCTATGCACTAATCCAGATCCCAGAGATGGAAGCAGGAAGAGCACTCATTGAAGGTCTGCCTGGGAAATTTAATGAGGCCCTCAACTCAAAATAAAAAATGTAGAAAGAGGTCTAGCGACATAGAACAATAGTAGCATGCTTAACTAGCTACGACCTGAATTAAATAGACAAATAAATAAAGAGCAGACAGGAATACTATTGACAACTTATGGACACAGAGGCAACCAGGCACGTGGGAGAGTGTGGAATGGCATCCCTTCTGTAAGAGCAGCCCAGGGTTTCTCCTCTTCAAGCCTATCTCCAACTTAATTATTTGTGACCTCTTCACTGGTTCCTTCAAAGACCAGGAAGGACTTGTGAAAGTCCTCTTTGGAAGAAAAGAGGGGCTGGCTGGCTGGGAAAGCAATCGGGCACCTTGAGATCCAGACCCAATATTGACTGTGTGGGTTTGGGCAGGTCTCTAAACATCATTGAGATACAGTTTGCTCAGAGGTGAAATGTTATAATAACATGTTTCTCCCTGTGCTACTATGAAGAACACATGAAGAAGTACATGTGAATTCTTCTGAGAGTCATAAAATAGATGGCCTGTACTTTCCTGTACTTTAAAAATTAAGTGAATAAAATCATAAATGAATAATAATCTGAGATAAAATTGAGATATGGTTTAACGAAAACTGGCTGTCTAAACAAGGCTTTAAATTGTTAAGTATTGTCAAGAAGACCTCAGCAAAAACAAAGCATCATACATGGAAAGATGCTTTGTTGCCACAAAATCAATAGCCATGACACAAGAAGATGCAGAACCCTGATGGTAGGGAATTCCAAATCAAATAAGGGGGCCCATCTAGTGGATAAAC